CTTCAGCCCTTCCTCCTTATCACGAAAACAGCATTTCCTCAGCTAAACTCAGACCACACATCTTAACTCTCCTGCTCTGTCATACTGCTCTTGGTGCGCTGTTTCACCGTTTCTGAGACATAACTCAGTAGATGTCTTATTTGTTCTTTTGTTACTTGAATAGTTAGCTCCTGCCCTGATAGCATGTAGGCCCCATCAAAGCCAGAGTCTGGTCCGCACCATTGACATGTCCATGTTCAGTCTCTAATACAGCCCCAGACATGAGACGGTCTTTTAATTAAATAATCCTTTGTATTAAATAAAGGAGCTGAGTCCAAACCAAACGTAAATCACAGTTGGTTTTAGACTAACATTCCCACCATTCTACTCAGCCTGCTTCTCAGGAAAGACTTATACCTTGAGAACTACGGGAAGAATTGATGTTCAAGATAATGACATTCAGATGTGCTGTAAGAGCTTCTATTCTCAAAGAAAATTTTCATTGAGTTCCATAAATTAATTAAAGCAGGGATGTCATGGAATATTAATATATTATGTTAATACATTTAGAAAAATTTCCAACCAAAAAGACTTTCTGCTTTTTCTTTAGTTAACCAGAAAATTAAATTAACTCAGAGCTCCTCATTCCCCAAAGTCCTTGTTAATTAGGATTGTTCTATAAATCTCTATTATTAGAAGAGTTTGTCATCTGTTTCATTACCCTGTTTATTAGGGCAGTCTGAGCAGGGTGTCTTTGCTCATATCCTGATGTGTGCGTCCTAGTGAGAAGAAGCATTTCCTGCCTCCTTGTTTCTTCCCTATTCGTTAAGGCGCATTTCATGCTATTAGTATAACAACTTGGTTTATTTGTGTCAGTTCCCTGGGTAAAGTAGGAATGATATCATTGACTTGGCTATTAAATATAATAATTAAATTCAAGTGGTGTTAAAGATAAAAGCTTGAATGCTTTGCAGCATTGTGTGTGATAAAGAGAGATTTAAAATAGGCTGCAAGTCCATCATTGAAGGACCGGGAAATAAATGATAGTGTGTCCATACAATTGACTATAATGCAACAGTACAATATAAAGGCATCCTCTCTTTAGTAGTTTAGAAAGAGCTTCATGTGTTCAGAGTAGCCTGGATATTATATCTTTTTAATACCTCCAGTAAGACATCACATATCACACAACTCACTCATTTCAAGTAAATATTCTAAGAGTTGTTCTTATGTTGACAGTTGTGCAATCATTACATTAACCAATTGTGAACATTTTTATTACTAAAAAAAGATACTCTAAGAGCATTTGCAGTCAATCCCAACTTCTCAACCTCACACCACATACCACTATCCTTTCAGCCTAGTCCTTGTGAGCTCCTTTGTTTGTTTGTTTGTTTGTGACAATCTCACTATGCAACCTGGGCTGTCCTGGAGCTAGCTATATACACTAGGCTGACCTCAAACACACAGCGATCCACCTGCCTCTGCCTCCCAAGTACTCAGGTCAAAGGCATGCGCCATCATGCCTGGCTTTGCAAGCTCTTAAATAGAAGTATTTGATCAGAACATAGAGAATGGTTCATGTGTGGAGGTCAGAAAACAACTTGTAGGAGTCAGCTTTCTCCATCCATTCTGCAAGACACAGGAAACTCAGGTCATCAGGCTTGGTGGCAAGCTCCTGTAACATCGAAAACATCTTGCTGGCCCACTCTGTGTTTGGGAGAAGTTTTTTTTTGTGTTTAGTTCTTTTACGCATATGTGAATGTATATGTGTGTGCCTGTGGAGGTTAGGAATCCACCTTAGGTGGTTTTCCTGGGGAACCATCCACTTTGTGTGTGTGTGTGTGTGTGTGTGTGTGTGTGTGTGTGTGTGTGTGTGTGTGAGAGAGAGAGAGAGAGAGAGAAAGAGAGAGAGAGAGAGAAGAGAGAGAGAGAGAGAGAGAGAGAGAGAGAGAGAGAGAGAGAGAGAGAGAGAGATTTATATTGGTTTTGACCACTTAAAAGTAACTATAATCAACCTAGTGGCAGCCTATGAGAAAATATCAGAAGGTATTTCTTACCTCCTGTCCAGCTACATACACACCTTTAATCCCAGGATTAGGAGGCAGAGGCAGGAGAATCAATGCTAGCCAGGCCTACATAGTGAGTTCCAGGACAGCCATGGCTACACAATGAGACCCTTTCTAGGGGAGGGGGGGGGGTATTTCTTTTTGTTTTATCTTGTTTTGTTGTGCATTTTTTGTTGTGTTTTATTCCTGGCTGAATTTAATTAGGATTGTTTGCATGATCATGAGGATAGGGTATCATGAGAGCATGGGTAACTTGCCAGCAGCTGTACGCCACTGCAGAAAATGAGTCCCCCACTCTCCAGTAACCACGACTACCTATAGCTCTTCAGAGACAGGGTGGGGCCTCTGATCCCTTCCCCCACACACATTGTTTTTGTGTGGGTTTTTGTTTGGTTGGTTTAGTTTGTTGGCTTGTTGTTTATGTGTGTATGGGGAGGGTTGAGACTGGGTCTCAGTGGGGAGGGTTGAGACTGGGTCTCAGTATTGTAGTCTTGTTTGCGCTGGAACTCACAGAGATCCACCTGCCTCTGCCTCCCAGGTGCCGGGATTAAAGATGTGTGCCACCACAGCCAGCTCTGTTTTGTTTTTTAGGGTTTGTGTTTTCTGTGTTTCTCAGTGGGTGAGGGGCGGTGTACACGTGTAGAGGTCTGAGGACAACTCTGAGGAGTTATGTCTCCCCTACCACCTTGTGACTGCAGGATCTCTCCTGGTTTTGCCCCCTGGCCCATCAGCTTACTCCCAGTAGGAGTGCTGGCTTTTTATGGGTTTCAGAGATCAAACTCAGGCCTCATGTTTGCCAGACAAACCCTCTACCAGCTGAGCCCTCTCCCTAGCCCCCGCTTTTCTACAATTAATTATTACCCAAAGTATTTTACGGACGCGTCTTATTATTACTAATGTAACCCCGTTGTTAACAGTAACTGTCATTAACGTCCCTCACTCTCCTTAGTCAGTGTCAGTTTGTTCTAGGTTTATTGTTCATTCCCTGAGAATGTGTCTTGTACTTGAAAGTAATAAAGCCAGATTTCTCTATAAATATTTATGGTATAGACCTTTTCTGAAATCAGACTGCAGCCCTTTCCCAATTATTTCTAATAAAGTCTGCTTGCATCTCTTTTATTTTCTCTGCCTGTGCAACCGTATGTACTGCATGCTCCCTAGGAACACAAACCTCTATTTATACCATAACATCCAATTAATTACAATCCTGTTAACGGCCATGTAGGCTCTAGAGTTACAAAGTGTGCCAAGTTTAGTTGCTTCAAATTTTTGGTTTGTTTTTGGAACAAGGTTTTACTGTGTAGCCCAGCTGATCTTAAACTCATTGGTATGACCCAGGCTGGCCTCTGGGATCCTCCTGACTCAGCATTCCAAGTGCTAAGATTATGTTCATGAGTCATCTTACCAGTGTCCGTTAGAATCGAATAGGTAATTCCGGGTTTTTAACATCCAGGGTTGTCCAGTCTTTTGTCACTGCAGTACGACCTTGTCCTCTGCAAATGTGCTGGACCACTGTGCTAGCTGTGGACAGTGACATATGAAGTCCATGAGGCCACAGGCTGGAGCCGCTTGACAGCGTACTCACTGACGAGCCAAGTACTCGAGTCCTGTTGAATATCAGCATTTCTGAGAAGATCAATTTCACTGCTTGGTTTTATGAGAAAAAGTCTCACTTCATAGCCTAGCCTGGCCTCTGACCCAAGATCTCTGCAGCCTACCTTTAATCTCTGCAGCCCTGTGACTACAGCATACTTTACCACACTCACTCAGGAGGATCATTTTTGCTTCAACATATCTGTGTCTCTTGTGTTGAATCTCTCTTTGAGCTGGAATGGTAATTCACACCTATAATCCCAGACCTTGGAGGATGGGATATTCAGGAAGGAAGCACTGCCACTTGGCCAGTCTGTAAAGTATGGCCCTGTCCTGGTAACAACAAAAGGAAGGGTCTCGTTATAGGCCACGCTGGCCTCCAACTCCTAATACTAACTTCTGCCTTTGCTCCCTGAGTGCTGGGATTGCACTCATATGCTGCACACCGGCACACATGTGGAAAGCAGGCACACACCTTAATTCTTAAGACCTTTTCTCAGTAAGATCTTTCTTAAGGTTTTAAGATCTCCTACATCCTCTTTGCTCTGAGGTGAGATTGAAGTTTGCAAGTCATTAGCCAAGTCTGTCTCCATAGGATGCAAATTTGTGACTTCAGAAGTTCAATAAGTCCAATAAGGAAACACTCTGCAATCATTTGCAGATGTCTTCCTGGCCAGATTTCATCAAAGTACTCCACAGCTGTCATGGGCCAAGCTTAGAGTCCTGGATGAGGTTCCTCTGTAGGGAGAAGGGCAAGCCGTCCTCCAGACCATACTGTTCCCACTGTTCTGCCCGTGCATTCTGTGTTAGCTGCTGGACACTTGGCAGAAGATGACCAGATTAGGTGATCTGTAATAAACCAACTATAAAAGCAGTAATCCTTGACATGGACATGAAGTGTGCCATTGTGATTTTTCTGTAGAAAGGTACTCAAGACTGATTATTTACATTTTAAAATGTGAAGCTCTTTCAGTGGATCCAAGATTTATTTCACTGCCAGCAACCCAAGCAAGCTTGAAGATTACTAGGGCTCGTGATCTAGTCCACTTACTTCCTTTAGCTCACAGTTTCTGTTCAGTCACTTGAACTGTCCACAGAAAGAGTGCTGCTACCATTTCCAGTCGCTCCCAGGAACATGAACTGTCTGAGTGCGGCTTTAGTAAGACACACACTCCATCTTAATGTTGAAAATTACAGGAAGTGTTGCTTTGCACCTGGTTCCCAAGACCGCCGGTACAGAATACAGGCTAATTTCTCTGAGTAGCTGAAACTCCACGAGTGTCAAGCTTTGCCGGGTGATCTTATGTATTGAGCATTATGAAGAGAAGTTAGTCTACCTTTCTTCTACTTTCATTACAGAAAATGACGTCACTGCTTTTGCTGTCTTGGATCAAAACCAGAAAGAAATCGTTGACACCAATGGAGCTGGAGATGCATTTGTTGGAGGTACAGATTCGCTTATTCCATGTTCACTCATAAGTCAAACATCCTAACCCTGGTCTCCAGCCAAAAGCCAAAACTTACTAATTTCACACAACTTTTCGTTTCTTTTTTTTTAAGTAACTGACTCCTGGTGCTTCTTCCATCTGCTGCCATCTTTGTATTACAAGGAGATTTTACTACAGGAAGGTTATGTGTTTGGCAAAGATCATCAGAGTAATTGTGTCAGAACAGTGCATAAACAAGTCACAGCAGGTAGAGTAGATCGTCCATCAGGCCTCTGTGGCTGATAGTGCGCGTGTGTGTGTGTGTGTGTGTGTGTGTGTGTGTGTGTGTGTGTGTTACTTAGGAAGTGTTACTAATTTTTTTAATTCAGGCTCAGTAAGAAGGAACAAATTTGAGCCGGGTGTGGTGGTGCAGGCCTTTAATCCTAGCACTCAGGAGGCAGAAGCAGGAGAATCTCTGAGTTAAACAGTTCCAGGACAGCTAGGGCTACACAGAGAAATCCTGTCTCGAAAAACAAACAAAACAAAGGAGCAAATTTGATACGGATGAAATCATTTGGGGGGTAAATACTCACAGGTGAGATCAGGACAGGTCGGTTTTTAATTCTAAATTACTCTAAGTTCAGGGTAGGTAAGCCAGGCTATGTCTCTAGAAAGCTTTAGAGCCTGCGTGCCAGCCCACAGGAGTCTCTCCTGGTAAATGAGACAAGACTAAAAACAGTTTGAAGGACCAGTGGGGATGACTGTTACCACCTTCTACTGAAGGGTGATGGGAATCATGGGAAATGCTAAATCTGTGGATGCTTGTAATGCAGCATTTCTTCGAAAGTATTATTTCACTTATTTCACTTTAATGATCTTTTTATCAATGAAAGTATTTCATTTTTCTTTCTCTGAAATTTCTTATACCCAGTCTTTAGGGTATAAACAGGTACCCATACCTCATTTTCTCTTTTCTTTGATCCAGTGAGCTTTTATCACTATTCTTTCTTATAACGTTTATTATGTGTGGATATATGTTGCACTTACACAAACACACATGCCACTGTGTACAAGTGAAGGTTGAGGACAACCTTTAGAAGTCAGTTCTGCTTTCCAAACATAAGTGCCAAGGACCAGCTAGGATCATCAGGCTTAGCAGGAAGCTCCTTCTGAGGTATCTCACTAGCCCCATTAGAAAAGTGCGAACAGTTGACAATACCCCATTTCATGCTTGGTTTGGGTTTCCTTGCACTGAAAGGCTTCATCAGTGATAATATTAATCTACAGCTAATTTTCTTATTCCATATTCTTCAGAGCTGTAAATCTTTGTAAGCTAAAAATATTTTATTCAGAATTAAGCCTTACTGCATAATACATTAAGGAAACCGTAGTGATTTTCTGATTGGAAATTAGTTAAACCAGGAATTTTAGTCCAGAAGCCTGTATAGTTGTATCCTGTGTGCAGATTTTCAAGTACTTTAACTCTTCAAGGTGATACGTATTCTATTTATTTGACATTTAGTGGGAAGTATAATGAGGCTGTCACAGATACGAGGGTGACCTAATTACTACCTCTGGCCCTGATGTTCTGGGCTTCCTAGCCCCGCAACAACAGGGTACATCACAGATAGCCTGCTGCATGCAGCTCCACCAGTGCTTAATGAGAATAGAGAGACCGTGAGGGGAGGGGCTTTTCTTAGGAACCAACTGGAGCATTCAGACTGTGCTCAGTGATGAGTGAGCAGCACCGGGAAAGTCGGCGCTTCCCTTAGATTTAAAGCCTGGTGTTTTAGTGTGCTTTTGTTTGTTTTTTCCTTCGTGCTTTGGTTTTGTTTGTTTTTGAGACAGGGTTTCCCTGTGTAGCCTTGGCTATCCTGGAACTCACTCTGTAGCCCAGGCTGGCCTCGAACTCAGAGATCTGCCTGCCTCTGCCTCCCAAGTGCTGGGATCAAAGGTGTGCGCCACCACTGCCCAGCTTGTTGTATTTTTTTGACATTTATTTATTTGTTTGTTTGTTTATCATGGGAGGTGGGCATACTCAGGCCACAGAGTATGTATAGAAGTCAGAGGACAACTTGTGGGAATTGGTTCTCTCATTCCAGCATATTTTACAGGGTTACAGGGCTCAAACTCAGATCCTCTGGCTTAGGAGCAAGCACCTTTACCCACTGAATCATCTTACTAGTTCTTAAGCCTTTCTTATATCCTTGGCATGTTTATTCTGGGGGTATTGTTAGGTATTGTTAGGTAAACATAAAGGAAAGAAGTCTTTAGGGGTTCTGGTTGGTTTGTTTTAAAATGGTCTTGTTTTAGAAAAGCCTTGAACTTACTTGGTAGTTTGAACTACTGATTCCCCTGCCTCTGCCCCTGAGTAATGAGATTACAGGTGTGGGCCACCATGCGGGTTTTATGTGTTGCCAGGAGTCTAACAGAGGGGCTTTGTGCGACAGCATACCAACGGAGCCTTCCTATAGAGACATTTTTAACCATGGGCCAGAGAGTCAGTAGGCTGGGTTTTATAAATTACATACAGGCTTTACTTTTTCAAAAGGTAATACTTTAAAATAATAATAATAATAACTGTTCTGTAGTTCTCCAGCTAAACTGAAACAGCCTCCCCAGTTCCCCCCAGAGGCTACATTCTGTTAACCCCCTGTGTATAAGAACAGCATTCTCAACCTATCCCATTTCTGGCAGAACCAGACTCCTAGCGCTGGATTCCACAACATGTTGCTAAAGTAAAAATAGAGAAAGTAAGGTGGGCATGGAGGCACACACATCTATAACTCAGCACTCAGGAGGCTGAGTCAGGAGCTCTGCAAGTCCAGGGCCAACCTGGGCTACAGAGTGAAGCCCTGTATAAAAGAAACCAAGATAAGGGGCTGAAGAGATGGCCCAACAATTAGGCTACTTGTTGCTCTTCCAGGGGGGTCTGAGTTCAGTTCCCAGCACCCATGTTGCTCTGCTCACAGCTCCCAGTCTGGAACTTCAACTCCAGGGGATCCAACTTCCTCATACGTTGGAGGACATCTTCACACAGGCGGTGCACCTACAAACAAATAAAATACATAACGTGTGGGGGGACTAGAAGGCAAACTGAAATTAAATATATGTCATTGGTAATCCTAGAATTAGTAGCCATTTTTCTTACTATAAACCTACTCTGGGGCTTGGGAATATAGCCCAATTGGTAGAGCAGTCACTTTGCACACGTGTTCATTCCTTAACAGCACATAAAATAGCGGCTATGCATGTCTATCATACCAACACATTGGATGTAGGGGGAAGCAGGAGGCTCAGGAGTTCAAAAGATCAAGGTCTCTTCACTACATAGTGAGTTCAAGGCCAGCAGGGCTACTGGATAACTCTGTGTTTAAAAACAAAAGTCCTACTCTGATGAGTTCCCAGTGTTAAAACACGAGGTCATAAAATGAGATAACATCCTAGTGTCAGTTATCAGTGGAATATTCATATAGTTAGCACATTCTGTGTGTGTGTGTGAGTCACACTTGATCATAGTAACAGTAGATAACCTTTATATTCTACCTTAACTAGCTTGGGGGGGGGCTGTATTTTGTGAAGGGCTGGGACTCCAACTCCAAGGCCTTGTGTCAACTAAATAGCACTCTACCACTGAGCTACACCCAAGCTGACCATACTGTTGGTTGTTGTTTACATTTCCTCATTTTCTTGGTTGTATGTTTGTGTCTGGGCAACCACGTGTCTTGGTACACATGTGGAAGTCACCGGGCAGCTTGTAGGAGCTGGGATTCCTTCCACCACATGAGTTTTGGGGATCAAACTCAGGTTATTGGGCTAGACACCAGACGCTTTTACCCACTGATCTACCTCACTGGCCCCCAGACCTTGTGTTTTTGAAACTCAGGCTGGCCTTGAACTTACTGTGTAACTCAAGCTGGCTTCAAACTTGCAGTCCTCCAAGACTGGTTATTTTTAACCCTGGTTTACTAATAAGAGAAGCAAGGCAAAGAGAAAGTGAGGGGCATGCCCATTGTCTAGTGCTGCACAGTCGCAGGGTCCGGTTCCAAACCTCTGACAATCCAGTCACTGCACTGGACGCTTCTGGAAACAGGTTTGAGAGAGATCTCATTAACGCCAAGAGCCACAGGCCAGCCTTCCTAACAAGCACCGGCTTGCTGAAGAGAAGCTGAATAAAATGACTTCATTTACTGAAGAGGGCCTTTTGTTGTCTGATAGGATGCCGAAGACTCCAGGTAAGTTTGTTGCAGCAAAGAACGAACGGAAAGTGTGGGACGGAAGGGCTGCGTGGGGACTCTGCGCAGGAGCTTCTTACGGAGCAGTCGAATGGGTTGCAGTAGGAGACAGGCAAAGCCAGACCATAAACCTCCGTGGTAATCATGAAGTCCAAACGGGCTGTATAAAGCAACTGTTTAATTGCACCCAGATAAGCTACCTAACCAATCTATCCTAAAACAGAAATGGCTTTACATCGTGAAAATAAATAGATAAACCTATTGGTTGAAACCCCAGGTTCCCATCTCCGTATCAGCAAGAGCCTTACTCCTGGGATTAGCAGTAAGCCAGCTGTTAAACTCCCATCTTGGACATAATGGAGAGGCAGTGGCAACTTTTACATTACTAAATAGTTTCTTTCTCTTTGCCTCATTGCCTGATTAACATATCTCCTTTCTGATTGACGTATTCTATCTTTAGACAGATAATATATTCATCCTGTTACTTTCAAGTTTTGCTGGCCTAAGAGTATTTCTGTCTTGTGTGACTTTGCATATCTGTATTTCAGTCTACAAACTATGGTGGTGATTTAACTCTCCGAAGTACAATAATTTTCTTTTTGTAAATTTTGAGGTTTTTGCTAAAGTATCACTCTAGCTACCTTGTGCTAATTAAATAAATCAGTACCAAACTGCCACGTGGTTGGTTCATTTAGCCAGTTAAGAGATACGCACTTACGTCATGGACTCTTATCTATAATTTGTGAGTACCCCCGGTGTACACGGATTAAATTCACAGTTCCGT